CCCCCCCCCCCGCCAAGTGTCGCCCCGAGGATTTTCCCCTTTCCCGAAAAGGCAACTATCAATTTCCGTGCGGCATTATGCATTCGAGAACAAAGCATAATCGTCCGAGGCAGGAATCACGAGGAACAATGGTACCGTTATTCATTAGTTACAGTTTAAGCATTCCGCTTACTAATCGCGCACAGTTCTCATGAGAATTCGAGTAAAACGGAACGATGCAACGGGCAAAACGGATGGAAGGAAGAAGCAGCAGCCTGACCGTTTCCTTCTGCCCGCGGTTTCTCGGAATATCCTTTGCGGTCGCCGATGGATAAGGATATCTGGCTGCAACTCCGAACAACTGTCCGTCCCGGCCGAGTCATGCACCGTGCCAGGAAACTCGGTGAAATCTCATCGGCCTATCTCGCCCTTTCTATTTGCGTTGACCTCAAAAACCCCGACGCTGACCCCGCAAGGGTCGCTTCGGTGTCGATCGGCAACGGGGAACCACTGTACTTTCCGGAGCAAATAGGAAAAATATCGTTTACGCCTCTCAGGGTGTAGCTGGCTTGATAAGATAGCCACTGCTGTCGCAGCGCGTGTATATGTATACGTGATATTAAGGAAGGAGATAGAGAAAGAGACACGGTTTCGATCTCTCTTCCATACCTATCGCGTCGTTTTTTCTACGCCATCCTCGTTGCAACTATCAACCAACTCTGCCGACCAGGGGAAGAGAAAAGATGGTGGGGAAAAAATAAAAACGAAATCCTCGGAGAATCGTGCGACGTTAGCCGGTGACGAAAGAAGAAGGAACGAGGGACGCCCTATATTCCACGTCTCTGTCTGTCTTTCCTTCTCCTCAATGGTCCTAATTAGGTACATACAGTGTACACATAAGGCCGTATTGCGACATACCAGTACCGTTCCAACTGGAAACCATATGCGACGGGGGGTTAAGTGTCGTCTTAACCTCCTTTCGGTGTTTGAATTCCTAAATCGACACCGATATCTACCTAAAAATCAGCCTCACCCGTTTTCTATCGCTTCCTCCGGGCGTGTTTGTCAATGTTGCGTTTATAATTAGAATATCATTTCGTAGAATGAAATTGATAACGTAACGCGATACAACGCGACCACGTACCAAGTGGCTATATTGTCCGCTCCGCGGGGACCAGCGGTTCTTGAAAACGTTTTTCCGGTAAAACGCCGCGATCTTTTCGCCTGTCTTCCTTTTATAGTTATTAGAAAGTGTGGCAACATGGCGACACAATCGTACGCTAACCTGTCACCCTTGACCATGCGATTAGCCATGCTCCACCTTCGCCGCTGAGGAGCGTATGCAAATCGCCATGTAAATCCACATATGGCGGTCCCATGTGTATAGGTAGCACCACGTGTCGAATTTTCACGTAAACCTAACCTAATCCGGGACGCGCGTGGTAAATTTCCATGGATCACCGGACACGATGTTTATTAACTTCGAACCGGTCTCGGAGATATTTTGTTGGTTAGTTTTCCGCCATCTTGGCGTTTTCGTGATTTTCCGAACGCGTGGATCGAGATCCGACGAAATCGAGAGCACATCCCTGATCTTAATTATAACGTCGCGGAGACAGTGGTGGCGGTGAGAGAACCGCGCAAGTGGCTTTTCGAGTATGAAAGGATCGTTGTGCCATAGATGTAACGGGGAGCCACGAGCCTTAAAGGCGAGGCAAGGGCTTGGCTTGAGCCAAGAAGTCGGTTGGCCGTCGAACGACGTTGCTAGCCGTTTCTCAACCCTTTCGTGGTTACGTCACGTTAAAAAAGCTATTTGGGGTCAACACCCCGCTGCAGCGACACGTGTAGTACTCCTCGACTCTGTCTCTCCGGCGTCCTCCCTCGACCCTCTCCGCCGTCCTCTTTTCCCTGGTATATGAAGGCAGCCGTCTCCTCTCTGCCTACTCCTCGCGACTCGGGACGCCATTGCTGCCACCTCCTCCGATAGTATCCCTTCTACTCGACTTAGTTTCCACTGGATTTCTAAGTTCCCTAGATACTAGCCGGGCCCGTGTTCTAGCCGCGAACGAAGGAACGTCGTACCACGGGCGTTTCACAGGCCGAATGTCGTGGCTATCAACGGACAGACGGTTCAAGGCTGTCCAATAGCCAGAGGCTACGCTCGACACCCTGTCCATTCGGTAATTCGATTGTAACGCAACGGTATCGAAGAATCGGGGGATAATGGAAAAATAGAATATTGCGGGAGGCGAAACGCGGCGTAGGTACACTCCTGGCGCGGTAAATTAGGAAAAACCGTGATTTCCGATAAGATAAGAATGTATCGGGCGAGAATAGGTGGGGAGAAGAAAGAGCACGGGGATAGGTGGGATTTCGGGCTGTTGTTTGTAAAGATAAGGAAAATCGATGATAGATCTCGGAAATTTGTTTTCGCGGAGCGAGGCGACGCGCGAGCATAAGCAGGGAGGCCATGAGATTAGAACGGGCCGACGCAGCCCCAAGCGATACAGCCCTGGCCGTGGGCGCGCGAGCAGTAGGAGAGCCAACCGAGTTTCTCCAAACGCGCGTCGACGTAGTAGAACTAGCACGCCGGTCTTGCTAGAGCGAAACCAAGGACGCTAGAGGAACAGCAACGGCAGAGAAGAAGCAGCGGTGGCGTGGACGGTGGTGAGAGTTGGCGGTAGCGGTGGCGGCAGCTAGCAGAGGAATCGAATGATCGTCGGCGGCGGTAGCGAGCAGAGTCAAATGATCGTGGCGGCGTCGACGACGACGACAGCGGCGGCGGTGGCGGTGGCGGTGACGGCGGCGATAGCTCCCCTTTTCCCCGACCCACGTTGTCTACGTGTATGTCTCTACCTCTTTACCCCGTCACCGCTGGTACCGTCCCCGCCGTACCTACCGCCCCCACCCTAGCGCCGCCACCGACAGACGATCCCTCCGTTCCCGCGTGCTCCGTTCTCCCCTGCCCGACTCTCAGACTCTCCGGAGCTTCCCCTTCCAGCGACTTTTTTTGTCCGTATACGCCTCGTCCATCGCGACAAGGCAGCTTCCAAGCCTTTTTATCAGTCGACCGAAAAGATCCGTGGGGATCCTTCCGCGGCAGCGCCCCGCGCATCCTAACCAACCCTCATGTTGGAAACGCGTCACCTCGTGCACGCGACGTATTTCTTACGTTTAAAGTACCAGCCGAATTTTCCACCTTCGCGTCCCGCACGCTTTCCACGCGCCGCTGCGTTTAAGGGAGTTTAAGGTAAAAGCGCGGGAAACGAGCAGCCAGTCGGTCCGCCAGGCTGTCGAACCGATCGTATCGATAAAGATAGTGAGCGTCGCGTAATAAGAGGCCCGATAATGAAGTCGTTTCGACATTATTGCAATGGTGTAGAATACGCGTGTCGGGGTAAACGTGTCAAGGTGCCGTCAGCGTAGCGCAACGATTCCGGTGACGACACGCAACCAACACACGTTGATTCAACGAGGAAATCGGACGAAGGTGCGTTTATTTCCATGGCAACGTGACGACGCACGGATTCTTGCCACGGATACGCAACAAGCCTCGAGGAACGAAGCGGAAGCTGAAGCAGCGACAAACTACTACCAGGATACGCAAATGTGGTTGGTACTTGTACATTTGCAGCTCAGAAGTTGAGAAACAGCCTCGTGGCGGAGAGCGGCTGTCTCGCTCTATCTTACGCCGCTGCTTGGCGAGTCTGTACGGAAAAAAGTGCGCAGACGCAAATCGCGGTTGCGTGTGTAACTCGCAACGCACCTCCTACACAGGCGCCTTAACGCGTTCGTGTATTTCTTTACGAGCCTCCTGTCCTCAACCCCCCCATATTTTCCTATTCCACCATCCCTGGAACCAAACCTAATCCCCGATTTTCTTCTCCCCTCTTCTCTTCCAGCGCAGGGGTGTATCGGTATCTTTGCCATTTTATTTCTCTATACCTGTACCTACGCGATGTATATCGTTCGCTCGTTTTCTCGCAACTTTAAAAATCGTTCCAACAGCCCGGAGTACACGCCGCGTGGAAACGTAATAAAGAAAGTTGTAAAAAGGATGAACCGTGATATCGCATCGGCCAGTCCGTAACGTAATCCGTATGGCTCTATTTTAAAAACTTTAACGGAGACTCGGTGCCCCTTTAACCCGCATTTTCCTTTATCGAAATAATACGAGAAGCGATAAGCGACTGTCGCAACCGCTGGAACCGCGCATGACGTCGTCAATGGGTAACAACTTTGCGAGTAGTTGCACGAGCTCGTGGCGACTTTGGCAGAACGAGTGCGCAGTAACACGACGTAAGAAGTAGCTAGGAGGTAGAGAGGGAGAGGGTGTGTTCGAGAAAGAAGCCCGAAGAACGAGGGCGTATAGGCAAGGGGAGGTGGCAGGTTTAAGGAAAGGTAGAGAGAAGGAGAAGTTGGTCACAAGCGTGAGAACAAAGGGGCGAAAATAAGTGCCCTTTTTGGAGGGTGATCGAGGGTGAGGAGCAAGAAAGAGGAAGACGAATCGAGTGAATGCGTTTGTGTAGGTTTCGAAGGAGATAAAAAGAGAAGATGGCGGTTGGAAGGAAAGAGAAAGAAATCTGACGATTCGTTCCTTGCGGGCTAAGGAAAGAGT